TTGCTAGAAGGTTTTCCTGCACTTTGTAGGTGACCACATGCAGTTTGTATGGAGAATGCTTGCATTTCGTTCAGTCGACTGCTTCCTCTCCTGGGCTGTGCAAGAATTTTTCCCAGTTTTCTGATTTACGCCCCTGAAATATTGGCTGTTCTTTGCTGATGGATTCCAATAGGAAGCCACACTTGCCTGATTTCTGAAGTACAATGAAGAGAGGGCTCCAGAGCGCTCAGAAAAGCATAGTTGGAGATGGCCTGCAGTATGCAGACTAATTGACAGAAGCTATAGGATTTCAAGCAGAAGCTTAATCAGGTTGAAATTGGACCTTCTTGAATCTTCTGGATGCAGAGCGTGTTCCAGCTCTCCCGTTATTATAGCAACTAATGTTAGCAATTACCATTTCCAAGGATTCTTTCAAGAGAGTCATAATTATAGAGGGGCAAAAGGTACCAATATAAAACATAAAACATGCACCAATTAAATAGAATATAGATAAAAAGATTGGTACTAAGTGTTTCCCATTCATTATTACAGCATTGTAGTTCTGGAACAAGAAACGTTCCTTCTTTTAGCAGTCTATAAAAGTCTGACATATTTATTTGGTATACGTGCATTGGACTCTAGTTTCAGAAACAGCCAAACTGTGAATAGAGCCCTTTCTTAGAAACTCCATTTGGAAAACAGAACCGAGCAAGATTTTGCCCATGTCTTCTGTCTGTCTGTCTGTCTGTCTGTTTGTCTATCTACTCACCTACCCACCTACCTACCTACCTACTTGTCTGTCTATCTATCTATCTATCTATCTATCTATCTATCTATCTATCTATCTATCATCTATCTACCTACCTACCTACCTACCCACCCACCTATCTATCTATCCACCTACCCACCTACCCACACACCCACACACCTACCTACCTGTCTACCTATCTATCTACCCAACTACCCACCCACCCACCTACCTACCTACCCACCTACTCACCCACCTACCTACCTACCTATCCATCTACCCAACTACCCACCGACCCACCTACCCACCTACCTATCTATCTAAATCTATCCACCTACCCACCCACCTATCTACCTATCTATCTATCTACCCACCCACCTACCTACCTATCTATCTGTCATCTATCTAATCCAAAGCACCTGAAGTCAGGACAAGAAACAATGTATGGAAACTAATCAAGCAGAGAAGCAACCTAGAACTAAGGAGAAATTTCCCGACAGAACAACTAATCAGTGGAACAATTTGGCTTCAGAAGTTGTGAATGCTCCAACACTGGAGGTTTCTAAGGAAATATTGGACCACCATTTGTCTGAAATGGTATAGGGTTTCCTCCTGATGGGGTTGGACTAGAAGACCTCCAAAGTCCCTTCCAACTCTGTTATTCTATTAATCTGTCAGATATTATGCCCTTAATTTATTTAATAAAGTTGGTTCTCAAAGTCTTTATGGTGTTTTGTTCTGTTTACTATGCAAGAAGCAATCAGCAGAGTGAATGATACTTGTGGCATTTAAGCCTTAAGGAACATTATGCTTCCTTGAGTTTTTTTTTTTTAAATGGCTCCACAGTAGGATACTTCTAAGTAGAGCTAGATATTGACAGTTTAATTAGACAGCCCTCAGTGACAGATGTTCCAGATGTTTAAATGTTGCTGTGATATTTATGAAAGATGTATGCTTAGGGAGTCTGAGAGGTTGCCCCACTTTATGAGGGGAAATAACATCCATACTTCAAATTGTTTGCTGCCATACATCAATGCTCATTATCTAATCTTGGCCACAACCATTCAAGACTTTCTGCGGGACTGACCACAAACAGTGAGGGCTGGGTCTGTCACATCCACCTTCCTGAAGCTTAGCACTGGCTCCCCACAGGGGTGTGTGCTCAGTCCCTACCTGTAGTCACTGTACACACATGATTGTGTATGTCTGACCCATCCACTTTGATCATTAAGTTCGCAGATGATACTACCTTATTGGGTCTCATTACAGGTGGAGATGAAACAGTGTACAGGGGGGAGGTTCAAAAATTATCCTCATGGTGACTAGAAAACAACCTGCACCTAAGCATCAGCAAGACAAAGGAGATGATGTTAGACCTCTAGAAGAAGAGAGAGGAATCTGCCCCACTTTACATCGAGGGGGGCTATGTGAAGAGAGTTTCCTCCTTCAAATTCCTGTGAGTCTACCTCAGTGAAGATCTTACCTGGAAAATCAACACAACCCAGGTGGCCAGAAAGGCCCAACAGAGATTCCATTTCCTTAGAGTTTTGCAAAAGAATAAAGTGGAACAATGACTGATGACCTCCTTTTACCGGTCCACAATAGAAAGCATCCTCACATATTGCATTACAGTGTGGTATACTGGCTTGACAGCCACGGACAGAAAGATTACAGAAGGAGGTGAGGACAGCACAAAACATGGTGGGCTGTTCCCTGATACTACTAGATGACATCGCTAGGGCTCGCTGCCTTAGAAGAGTGAGGAAAATTCTCAGGGACGACTCACATCCCAGTCAGCACTTCTTCACTCTCCTACCATCAGGTAGGAGATATAGAAGTATAGCCAGCCGTACCAACAGGCTGAAGAACAGTTTGTACCTATCAGACTTCTCTACGGAAAACAAGTTCATGTCAACATAGTATGATACACTTGCGGGGCTGGTGCGCTGTGCAACAAGGTCACATAATGTAATAAGATTGGGACTGGGTTAGGGACTTTTGTCCTCACTGTGAGTTGTGTGGGTGGGTGGGTGCACGAAGGGAGGCTCAACAGGGGTGGGATTCAAATTTTTTAACAATCGGTTTTGTGGGCATGGCTTAGGTGGTGGACGGGGCTTGGTGGTCATGAGACTGGGTGGACATGGCTTGGTGGTCATGTTATTGGCCGGGTGTGGCCAACTCAATATTACTCACATCGAGGCATGCATTCCTCGCCTGGCCTCTCATGACTGTGGGGATGCTGCATCAGTCGTAAGTGTGAAAAATGGTCATAGGTCACTTTTTTCAGTGCCATTATAACTTTGAATGGTCACCCCACACAAGGAAATTACCAGCAAAGGAGGGGGAAAAAACTCCAGAGACATTCCTGAGACAGGAAGTTTAGTCTTGCCAAGAATGTAATAAGGGTTAATGGAGAGGCAGTTTCTGTAAGCAATACCAGAATGTTTCCTTCCTGCCTTCCTTACAGGATTAGACCAGTAATTTCTTCTAACAACCAGTTCTCCGAACTGCTTAGAATGTTAGCAAGTGAATAGGTGTGAACTGGTAGAATCCCACCCCTGGGGCTGAGCCAATCTCATTGTACACATATTGTACTCTGACAGTAAAGGTAATAATAATAAAAATTGATTAAAATGCTGGTGGAAAAAATTAGGGAGTGAGAGCCCACAACTCAGTGACTATCCTTTTGCAGCCAAGGGCTACATGTAGTCCTTGGATTGGTCTACCATTATCTACTCTGTTATAAATTATTTGTGCCTTCAAATGAGACCTCTGGTGACTACCTAGTCAATTCCATGCACCTTTTTTGGTGAGATTTTGAAAGTGGTTTGCCCTCCCATCTCCTTCTTAGGGATGAAAGAGACTGACTGGCCCAAGATCACCCAGCTGACTTTTGTGGCTAAGGCGGGACTTGAACTCACAAATCTTCCACTTTCTAGCCTGGTGCTTTAACCACTAGACCAATTGAGTATTCCTAGATCAGATAGTTTTATTGCTTGCCTTTGACATTGCCTTTAGGTTTTTTTTTTAAATGAACCTCTTATTTTTGTTTCCCATGCTAGCAATTATTGGTTGTGTTAGATTTTTTTATGAAGATTGTTGTTGGTATTTTCTTGTAAAGCAGTCTGGGATCTTGGAGGAAAAAGAGTGAGATAGAAATACAAATAATCCAGAAGATCCTGGTGGGAGGAAAATGAAAGATGAAACTACCAAAATGGCAGCCATCACTGTGTGATTGAAGCTGCCATTGTGATTTTTTTACTCCTCTGCAGATACCCATCATCATTATCAATGTAGTAATCACAATAACAACAGCATTTAAACTTATCTACCCCTTTGTGGTGCTTTATACCACTCTCAAAGTGGATTATACAGAGTTGGCATATTGCCCCCAACAATCTGGGTCCTCATTTTACTAACCTTGGAAAGATGAAAGGCTGAGTCAACCTTGAGCCAGTCGGGATCGAACTCTTGGCAGTGGGCAGAATTAGCCTGCAATGCTGCATTGTAACTACTGCACCACCAAAACTCCTCATCATGATCAGCATGCATAAATCAAACATTGTTTTGTACCCACATCTTACAAAGGTATTCTGAATATCCTTTGTCTTGCATAAGAACAACAGAAACGTTTTGGCAAAAGTTACTCCTGAAATTGCCACCAGCAAATCTACACTGTAAATCTGCAACTTAAGTAGATTGGATTGTAAGAAGTGCCTGATCTTAAGACACTATTTCAATCCAACTGGACCATGCGTTCTCCAGGATTTAGAATTTGACTTGTTTCCAGTTCTCTTTGGAAATTCCAGGGTAAATTGGAGTATGAGCATAAAATTCCAATTTTGATCCCTGGAATTTCCAAAGAGAATTCTATGTGCTCTACTATGATAGGGTCTCTCCACTGCCAAATTACACTTTCTTATACTGAAATACTATCTAACTTTACTGTGATCATTCCACAGGATTAGCAATTTTATTGGTATTCTGTCATTTATTAAGTTCTCCCCCTTTTGAGCCTGTTCTCTCTGTATCTTTCCATTCACTGTTTTCTTCTTCCTTTTCCTTCTTGCAGAAGCTTACAAGGAAGAAGTGACCACAGAAGAGTTAGAAAAGCTCCTCTTCAGATTCACAAGGATGCACCTTTGAATTGCCCTGGACCTTTGGCGAAGTGGATTGCTTATCTTTCAAAATTCATGCTGTGCAGTTTTGTTCCTGGAACTAATTGACCTTTGCAAGTCTACCTGGTGTGTTTCCTCTTGCTGTTGTTCTCACAATGAGTGGTATTTTCTCATACTTGGATCCCCGGCGGATCCAGTGGGGTGCCACATGGTATGCCATGCACTCAAGAATCCTTCGCACCAAACCAGTAGAATCCATGCTGGAAGGCACAGGCACCACCACCCATGGAACAAAACTGGCCCAGGTACTCACAACCCTGGATTTGGTTTCTTTAGGTGTTGGAAGTTGTGTGGGAACTGGCATGTATGTGGTTTCTGGCCTCGTTGCTAAGGAGATGGCAGGCCCTGGAGTCATCGTTTCCTTCATCATTGCTGCTGTAGCCTCCATCTTGTCTGGTGAGTTTTTCCTAAATTATACTATATACTATACTATAACTTACTGCACCTCTGTATGGTTTGCCAATTGCACAGTGGCAGATAGGACAGCACTCCAGAGGTTTAACGTCATTGCCCAGAAGATAATTGGTTGCCCTCTCCCCTCTTTGGAAGAGCTTTATAGCTCCTGCTGCCTTAAGAAAGTCCAAAACATTCCATCTCATCCTAGGCACCCTTTTTTTGAACTATTATCATCTGGCAGACGGTACAGGATAATAAAAACAATGACAAATAGGCTGAAAAACAGCTTCTATCAGCAACTCTATTAAATTCTACTGTATAGTGCAATATTAATGCAATATCAGGGGTTTTCAATTCAATGTGTGGAGTGTGGCGGATGTGCGGTTGTGTTTATTTTCATAGTCATAATGTACACTGAAGATGGTATTTAATTTTGTTGTACGAGGTGCGATGACAATAAAGTAAACTGAAACTATACTATGCTAGATTTACAGCAGGAGTGTCAAACTCATGCCCCCCGGGCTGGATGCGCCACACACTGGCCACGCCTACCCCCATTTTAGCAAAGGGGGGAAAGTTGCGGTACGTCATGTGATGACAATGTATCATCATGAGTTTGACACCCCTGATTTAGATCTTTATACTTTTTCCAATGCAATTATTCTATCTTTCTGTGACAGAGACACTTCTTGAGGCCTCTTGTATTATTTTTGAAAATTAGTTTATATATTGTAGGTTTTTTTATGATACATAGTTTGAAGGAGGCGTATCATTGCTCTTCTTTACTAATTTATTTAATTAGAAATATTATAGGCCACTTATCTTAAATGTGTAACTATAAAGACTCCCTGACTCGAGTCTTTCTAACTAAATAGCCTACCACAGTGATGGCTAACCTTTTCGTTGTTGCACGCTGAAAGTGTGTGCGCATACACCTACGCATGCCAGCACCCACAATGTGATGCATGCATGACACCCCCCCATCCCCTATGCATTCATGCGCAACCCTCCCACACACATTGTGTGCCTCTGCATATGCACGTATGGCCTCCCGTGCATGTGTGGCAGATAACCAACAATCAGCTGGCTGTTGGAAGGCTTGTGTGTATGCTCAGTGGATCTGTTCTGGGCGATGGCTCGCGTGCCGGCAGAAATGGCTCTGTGTGCCACTTCCAGCATGTGTGCCATAGGTTCGCCATCATGGGCCTGCCATCATCTTTATCATTATCATTATCAACATCATCACTTTAATCTTCTCCCTTTCTCAGAGGTGGGATTCAAATTTTTAACAATCGGTTCTGTGGGCATGACTTGGGTGGTATTTAATTTGGTGGTCATGTGACTGGGTGGGTATGGCTTGGTGGTCATGTTATTGGCTGGGCGTGGCCAATGCAATATCACTCACATCGAGGCACGTATCTCCTCTCCTGGCCTCACATGACTGTGGGGATGCTGCAACAGATGTAAGTGTGAAAAATAGTCATAAGTCACTTTTTTCAGTGCCATTGTAACTTTGAATGGTCACTCCACACAAAGTACCAGCAAAGGAGGGGAAAAAAACTGCAGAGACGTTCCTGAGACAGGAAGTCTAGTCCTGCCAAGAATGGTTAATGGAGAGGCAGTTTCTGTAAGCAACACCAGAATGTTTCCTTCCTGCCTTCCTTACAGGATTAGGCAAGTAATTTCTTCTAACAACCAGTTTTCTGAACTGCTTAGAATGTTAACAACCGGTTCTAGAGAATAGGTGCGAACTGGTAAAAATCCCACCCCTGCCCTTTCTCCATTCTACGCTTCTGGGATCTCTCAATTATGAGGTTTTTTTCTAAAAGCTTGCCTAGGACATGACTCCTAAAGTCCAAGGCCACCTGCACCAAATCCCCTTTTTATTTATTTTTTAATTTTTTATTTTATTTTATTTGGTTTGTCAATTGCTTACAAGGTAATAGGTATAAGTCTATAATAGGTATAGGTCTTCCGGTTTGAGGCTCTTCGGCAACAGACCAAAACCTCATCTCTCCGAGGCTTCAATCTGTGCTCACCGCTGGAGTGCCTCGAGCAGGCTGGTTTCGAGACTAAGCCACCCCATAGAGGTGGTGAAGAGGGGGGAGACTGCCTGCAGGGTTGAGGAGAGCTGCATCTCTCCTCCCCAGCTGGCCATTACTCCCTTTCCCGAAGGCGATTGTAGAGGTGGTCAGAAATGGCCACCATAAAGAAGAACTCGACCAGAAAAGAATGTGCAGGAGGAAGATAAGAAGAGAAAGTTTTGGTTGACTGGATCAAACAGCAAAAGCAACAAATAAGGTACCCTGGAATTTAATCTTGACAACATTGTTCCCAAAGAAGATTTTGAAGCTGCGAAGGAGAGAGAGAAGGGAAAGGATTAGGTTTTTTTCTTCCCTTCCTTATACTGACAGCTAAGAGACTTAAGCAAGAAACTGAAAAAAAAAATCCACTTTGACATTAATAGACATCTAAGGTGAAAATAAAAGTCAAAGGGATAAACAAAGATTTCTGGACATTTAAAAGTTTTTAAAAGCTGGAAAGGAGAAAAAAAAAGAATAGAAGGGCAGGATCTGGAAAAATGGAAGAGACTGCCTGGAATTAAGGAATGGAACTGTAATTAAAAGGAACTTACAGTGAAATTTTAACAAGATTCCTCAAAGTTACATTTTAATGGAAACTTGGTGACAAAATAATAGAACCCCAGGAAGAGAAAGTGGAAAAAAGAAGCAAGGAGAAACAGCCTTGGATTATTTGGATTACTTGGTGGTTTTTGGTTTTTGCATCTAGATGACTAAAAATTAACTGGGTGGTTGTTTAAAAGTTTTTAAATGGTATCACTCTTAGAAGAACTGAAAACGGAACTTTAAAAATGGAAAGAAGACGCACAAGAAGGGAGAAGTTCTATTGGCTTCGTGTTTCAATTCTTAGATATGGAGATCTGGAACTATGAGAAGCAACAAGAAACGCTTGCAGAACAAGAAGATTGGGACAAAGAAGAAGCCATCTTTAATGATCAAATAATTTTAAGTGGGGGGGGGAGAAAAGGGGGAAAAAGAGTGAAAGGTTTAAGATTAGAAAAAACAACCAAAAAGAAGAACAATTTGAGAGATAAGTATAGTATTAGAAAGCAACAGAAGAGGGGATTACAAATGAGAGAGTTAGAAGTAGAGAGGGGAGGGGGTAAAAAGGGGAGGGGGAAGAAGAGGGGGAAGAAGGCAAGGAAAAGAAGCTGTAAAAGACAGAAACAAGAAATGGAGAAACAGGGAAAAGATATAAGGATTGTAGCCATAAGTTTGTTTAGAGATAATGGGTGAAAATTTAATTGTAAAAGGGATTCTGCAAAGGTATATAAGATAGCTTTGTTATATTACAAATAGAAATAACTTTAGAAAATATGATGATGGATAAAATATTTATTGTAATGCAGTGGGATGTTTGTTAATAAATAAATTAAAATGATTGAGAGAATTAAAAGGGAACATTTTTAATTATTAGTAATAATTTATAAAAATATAAGTGAGAAATATAGGGAAAAAAAGAATTAACTATGGAAAGTTTACAAGTGTTCCCAGGGAAGTATGATATTCAATTGAAAAGAAATGTTAAAGATGTTAAGCTTTTAATGTATATTAATGTTAGAATTGAATTGGAATGGGAAGTGTTTTATTTACATATATATATATAATTTTTTTTCTTTTTAAGAATATAGTGTCTATTTTAAGAATGTACCAAGCAGAATTCAATTGGAAGTTATGTATTATATTGAATGCTATAATCTTAAAGCTATACATTGAAGCTTAAATAAGAGCTTGAATGGATAAAATTAAAGGATATAAAGATGTCATACCCTAATTGGTAACTATAGGGAAAAATTTGTTTAATAAGAAAAGATAATGTCAAATTGTAACAGGACAGACAAAAGTATAAATATAATGATTTGAATTGAGATAATCCAAACAAAGTTGAGAAAATTAGAAGAGGGGAAAAACTATGTAGAAAATATAAAATGGTAATAAGATATGGAATAGAATATAAAAATGAGCATGAAATTGAGTTTTGTGTCTGTATGAAGAAGTGATAACCTGGGACCATGCTATTTTCAGAAAAGATGTTTTATTTGTATTTTGTTTTTGTGAAAACCCAAATAAAATTTTCAAAAAAAAAAAAAGATAATAGGTATAAGTAAAAACATAGCTATGAATACATGGATACATATAAGAAAAATAAAAGAAACAATAGGACAGGGACGGTAGGCACGTTGGTGCACTTATGCACGCTCTGCTCCACCCCACTGTCAAATTTGCTGTTCTCGGGGCAGTTAGGTAAACATTCAACAAATACGCTTCAGATAATGCACTTGATTTACTAAGTGTCTGGCTTGGTGCTGAGATATGCTTAGACCTCCTCTTTCAGTTAGAATCAACAAGTCGGATAAGGCCATTCTAATAGTGAGTGCTTGGATTTTCTCCAATCTTAAAATGGGGGGGGGGCTGCAATCAGAAGGAGGGGTCCTCTTGCGGTAGAAACCCTACTCCTTGCCAATCAGACTTGTGCCGTTCCCTATTAGCTTTTTTGGGAAGTAAGTCAAGATAGATCTCCCCAAAAGCCTTTTTAGCTAGTTAAGATAATGTTATAGGAATTCTTCGTGGCTACTCCAGTTTAGGTTAAAGCTGACTGATGATTCTAAAGGCTTACAATATGATTTGAATTGAAATAGGATATTTTATTCATACGTATACCATCAAGAATCATATACTGTAATTGCAACAGCATTAATCTCGAATGAATGAATAAATGAATGATATATCCTGGTTCTAATCCCCTAGATATAAGTCTTAACATTCCTGCCCTGTCCGTCTGTCACTGAAATTCTGCTCTGTTTAGCTGAATATTCTTCTCCAGTATCTTGAAAAAGAAGAACAAGAGCAGAGATCCTCAACCTTTTCTTCACCAGGGACACCCTTTAAAATACCTTTTGTGGCCAAGGGGTCCCCAAG